GTGCCCAGGCAGCGAGCCACTGATGGAAACGACAGGACAGGAGCTGCAGGAGATGCCTAAAAATAGATCCTAATACAGCGGTCTGTGGCTGCAGCACCTTTGAGCCTCCCTCTAATCCAGCAGGGAGCAAACCCTGAGCATCCCAGGTAGCAGCAGCCTAACTCCTTGTCCTCCACAGCACCCACTGCTACCTGGAAACAAACAGTTTTATTTGCTCTGCTCTGTTCCCTTTTTTCCTCATTTTTTTTCTTTACTCTTTCTTTAAAGATATATTATGCATTTACATGTATAGTTACATTTTCTGGCCTCTAGTCTCTTGACACTGCTGCAAAATCTACAGTTTTACTGGGAGGTAAGTAAAGCCAACTACGATTTTTAGCATAACAACTTTGACTGTCGTTTCTACTTCCTGACGTGCCTAAGAATGACTTGACCATGTGAAAAACGACAATGCCATCAGCTTAAGTTTTCTAGGACCAAATAATTTGTCAGTAACACGTAATGATAAATTGCTAAGAGCTCCCTCCCTCTGCTCGCCTGTCTCAGATACAGCAAACACCCCAGCCCCCAGAGAAGCAAGCTGCTGTTTCAAAAGGATTTACAGGAGGCTGAACAAGTTTTGGTGGGTCAGGACGTATTAAGACCGACTGCTACATTTTACTCTGCTACATCTAGCGATATCTTTCATGTGACCACTTCAAAACATTTTGCAGCCATTTCACCCCGAACTCCAGAGGGATGGATAAGCAGCTTTATCTCTACTTCACATACACGGCCAAAGAGATTAACTTGGTCACATAGTTAATGACAGAAATGAGAGATGAATGCAGGAGTTATTACAAACACTTTTGTGGGTTTTTTGCTTCTTTTGAGGGAAGAGGCATGATGGTGTGCTTTAAGTTCAAGTCTAATTTGATCTGTCTGTATATTCTTCTCTTCCTTTCAAAAGGACAAAACAAAAAGGCCACTGGAGACAGAGGGAGGGACAGACGTGCTCTGTGCCACTTCACGGTTCCTCTGATCGAGTTTTACGTTTCCCATTAAAACCACAGCCCTGGGAGGACTCTCCGCCCTCTCCCAGAGCAGCTGGGACCTTCCTTCTGACAGAGCAGGAGATTAGCAGAGCGGCTTTGTTCTGAAAGCCACCATTCTGCGGTGGCGCTGAGGGCACCAGAGATGTCAAGGCTGTGCCTAATAGATGGCACTGAGCCATATGGGATTTGAGGGAAATGCTGCTAAATTAGCTGCTCCAGCGCCCTGACGGTTTGCATTTGCGTACAAATACATGGCCGTTTGTGCTTGATATGAAGGGTGTGCCCCCCGTCACCCCTCCTCCGGCCTGGAAAGACAGCCCGGTACGTCGTTCACCATCCCCCTGGGAGACACAGGGTGCAGAATTTGCACGGCCGCAATACGTGGGCACTGCCGGGATCCCACCAAAGCACGACCAGCCAGGTTTGGAGCTAAACCAAAACTCCGTTCCTACCAGGAAGCTCCTCCACTCGCACTCTCTCCATGCCGACCCACTCCTCCCGCACAGTCGCCCAGGGCCCTCCATCACCCTGTTGGATCCGATGGCTGCCTCTTCTTTCTGCCACTTTCAGTACTAGTGGGACGCCGTGGACGGGACTGCCTTCTGGAGTGTGCTGAAACCCTTCTTGCCATGCTTTTGCAAAATATCTCGGATTTGTACAAAAGTCTGTTCAAATAAACTGCCTTCCCTTTGGGGATTTAAAATTAGGACGCCCATGAGCAGCTCAGACATCTGATATTTTGTTTTCTTTGGTGAACAGGATACATAATTAGGGGAATTTAGCTGCACAGAGTTGAAGATGCTTTAGTTAAAGTCCTCTGAAGGGATTCCTGGAGTGCGGAAGAAAAGCCATCTGCTGACTCCAGTGGAAGCGTCAGCAAGGAAATAAAGTTGGGAGGAATAATACAAGCAGCCAGAACTAAAACAGAACTCGGCAACTCTCCAGGAAATCAAAGTCCCCAAAACACCATGAAAATAAGTCATTCTTGCTTAAAAAAAAATAGATAAAAGAGAGAGAGAGAATTTAGACAACAAAAAGTAGAAATGCCACAGCTAGATGAAGGCGTTACCATACTTTGCTGTTCAAATGTCTCCATGATCAAGTTATTAGTTTTTTAATATGGCTTAATACATCTTAAATAGTAAAGAGAAAAAAAGGACATACTAAGAATATTTTATCATATCTCAAAAATCTTGAAATCTTCAGGGGTTTTGCATCAGACTTACTTTAATTAACGCTTAAAAGAATAAATATATGTTAGTGGGTTAGTAAAGGAGATAAACATTCCAGCACATTTTTAAATTATACATGTAGGCAATGATGAAGCCAGAAGACTAACTCGGTACTTACAGATCAGTTATTTATGTGCTCATTGAAGCAACTCCAGCAGGAAGAAACTCTGCATAGGGAGCCTGTACCACTGTGAAGACGCCTATTAAAGGAGGCAATGGAAATCCCTTCTCTTGAATCATTGAAAAGCAGTTCCTAGGAGTCGCTGAGACACACACGCGCTCAATTCCTACCATCACCACGAAACCTGCTTCCAGCAATTCCTGCCCTGAGGCTATTTCATGCCAGGAGCGCTTGGGATACAACTCAGCAAGTGCCTTCCCTAGCTAGGAAAGCACTTCCACATGTGCTCAACTGCCACCACAGTTGAGAGTTAAGTGCCTGCTCATACTGATAGGAACTGCACAGGCTTGTAGCAGAAGAAAAATCTTCTGTTTCAACAACAAAAACGAGGATGTGTTTGATCTTCGTAAGAGTTTATCTGTTTCAAATGCAGCCTAATCCATGGGTCAGGAGGAAAACTCAGGCTCATCTGGCTTGCCCCAGGGCAAGTTCTCCTCCAAAGGCTCTGGACTTTGAGAAGCTTCAGCTGCAGGACATCCTGCTGCGTGGGAGCAGATGAAGCCACAGCTCTAACGTGGAAAGCACCACGTCTGCGCGGCTCTGAAGGCAGAGCCGACATACACCAACCACCCACCTTGGCAGGCTTGTGACACAGCGTGAAAGGTGCAGAAAAGACTCCAGCAGTTTCTAGTCTGTAACTGTGTATTGGATATGCCTGAACCATGCAGGTCAGTCCAGACTCCCCTGCTCACGTGCTCAGGAAGGTGTTTGGTTCAGGCTCGTTCACACCCTGCAGTTACAGCGAAAAACTCTGTCTTTTTTTTTTCAGACACTGATGAAAGAAGTTTATATGTAGCATAAATATGAATCAATTACTTTGTTGTGTGATCATGTGGCCACCATGGTTCAGAGGAGGCTGGTTCTGGGTGTTGTCCAGAGAAGCTGTGGCTGCCCCCTCCCCGGAAGTGTTCCAGGCCAGGTTGGATGGGGCTTTGAGCAACCTGCTGTAGGGGAGGGTGTCCCTGCCCAGGGCAGGGGCGTTGGAACTAGATGATCTTTGAGGTCCTTTCCAACCCAAACCATTCTGTGATTTTATGACTCCCACGTAATGGCAGCTCTAGCTCTGCTCATATATGCCTGCATCAACCAGGAGGAAAGTCAAATGCGTGTGTGCAGCTGGGAGGAAAAGAAAACACCACAGAGGGAAAAGAAAAATAAAAATCTAAATTTACAGCACATTTTCAGGCCCCAGTTGAGCATGTTTCAAAGCCCCAACAAATACTCCCTCATTACCACCACAAGAGAGTGCATTTCAAGACCAAACCATGCTTAAGATTCAGCTGTGCACTTATCAGGACGCACGCGGGAGGAGGAGGAAGCACTTACATCAATGAGGTCAGAGACATCGTGGATGTAGTATTTACTGACAGCTGCGTTGGTGGCTGGCAGGGTCAGCAGGTAGTCGTTCCTGGCTTTCGTACACTTCAGCTTGTTTTCAGAGTATTTGGCTTGCCTCTGGAAAAGCAAAACGGAGCGTCAGAGCACAAACGGGATGCTGCTTTCACAGCTCCTCTTGCTGCAGGGCCTCACAGCACCCCGCAGCCTGGGTGTGATGTGTTAATTAATAAAATTTGGGATTAGGGGCATGAAAACAGGCACCCTTGCCAGATGGAGGAGATCACTCTGAGCAGCCCTGGTACCGTCAGCCGACGCACGATGGGTGCATTCTGCCCAGATGTACCCAGGGCACCCCGAGCACAGCTGCTCTGCCTTCATCTGTGCATTCGTGGAGGTTTTGGCATCAATCACAATTAGAGGGCCAAATTTTCCTCTCAGATACGCTGACATACATGTGGACTTGCTCCAGATACATGCAGCTGTATCAAAGTGGAATCTGGCCCTGAGGCCCAAGCTACAAAATTTAGAGCAGGACCCAGAATTCAAAACTCTGTAGGAAAGCAGATGTGCTCGGATCTGGGGCGTTTCCTCAGGCAGATCACTGCTCTAAAGGTTTAGCACAAAAGATTAACCCTTCAAGGAAGCATGCTGCTACACCATGTCCCAGTGCTGGGCTGAAATGTGTGCAAACGCATCCCAGCTGGGGAAGCTACTGCTTTTTCTCTGAGATTAACAGAAAAATTGCAGTTTTGGAGATCTTGAGATCTGGGGGGTGTTTGCTGAAGGTGAAATGGCCCATCCAGCCACCTTTCTCAGCCCTCCCAGCAGCGAGCCAGACTGGAAGATGTCCCGGGAGGCCACATGGCTCCTGTGTGGGTCCCACCACCCCCTCCAAGGCTGCTCTACCCGATGTTCCCCATCTCCGTGTCTTGCTGAGCAGTGCTGGCCCCACTTTGGGTCAAATCCTCACTTCCAGCTGGTTTTGGCACTTCTCCACACCCAGGGAGCCATAAAGAGACTCATTATGGCCTCTTCAAACAGCCCTTCAGCACAACACACACACACACGAGTCAACATCCTCCCTGACCCCTTCCCAGGGATACAGGAACGGCTGCAGGGGAAAGGGAGGAAAAGGCTCCTGCCCGTGGGGAGCCCCGGCCCCAGCCTCGCTGCCCCCTCCTCCCCTCTCGCCCACCTTCTCCTTCATCTTCTCGATCTTCTTGACAGAGCTCCGCCGCTGGGGCCTGTCCTCATGCCGCAGCAGGTTCACACTGATGTCCCCTGACTTGTTGAACTGCTTCTCCTCCTGCTTCTCCGCCTCCTTCAGCTTGCTCTCCGCGCTGATGCTTTCTGCGTGATACATGTGGTAGGTCTTCATCACCTGTGGGAACAAGTCGGTGAGTTGCCGGCCCCACGGCCACGCACGGCACCGCTGCGGGAGAAGGTGACAGCCGTGGGCAGCGCAGAGCAGTTCCAGCTGTGCCAGGGCTGAGGCCACCATGGCATTAAGGAACAAGGTGGGAAGGAAGAGTCCCTAAAAATTCACCCATCACCAGCCCTATTTCGAAAGGGCACAGAGCTGGTGTAAGAACCGTTACCCGTTCGGTCCCTGCTGCGGGGACAGGCTGAGATGTGCCTCCAGCACCACCTGTGTTCAAAGAGCACTGCCTACCTTCCTACAGGGGAAACGGGAAACAACTTCCAGTGCTTTGCAGCCGGGATAAGGGTCTCCATGACAAAAGACTGTGAGGAGGCCAAAGTCAACCTGAAGTGACTTTTGACCCAACCCCTCTTGAACACCGGAACCTGCCAAGCCAATCCATCAAGGCAAACCCTGCCCTACCATCCCGACAGTGGAGCCCATCTGGAAGGTGGAGGAGCTGCAATTTCCAAGCAGCAATGGAGTTTGTCTCTTATCACCACTCAATTGTCCTCTTGCTGCTGCCAGTAAGCACAGTCAGTGCCAGTGTGGATTGCAACAACATCTAGTCCTTAAAATCCGAAACTGCCGTCTGGATAGACTGACTCTGGATAGAGGATGAAGATCTACTGCCAGGAACACTCCTGCAGGCAAAACTTCTACCGCAGCCTTTCCTTTCAGATCCAAAAGCCCAACGGGCACATTGTGATCACTTTAATGGAGCTGGCAAGAGGAACACATCTGCTCTTCTCCCTTTATGCCTTTAGTCACGTTGTCCCCTTTTATCATCTGCCTTCGGGATCTGGATGTTTTGTTTCACATTGCCTTGACAAGGCTCGAGGTGCCCGACTTCTCGCTGGAGATCAGCCTCAGGCGAAGCGCCCGGGCACCACGGCACGGGCTGGGCTTGAGGGCCACAAGCTAAAAAGGAGCAGAACCCACAAAAGCAGAGTAACTTTGCACAAGCCTAATGAAGAAAATACAGTTTTCCTCAGCTGCGGTTGTCGGCAGGAACCCGGAGTGTTTAACTTGGACGAGGTTCGGCTGAACCATATGATCCCTCCTCTTGCCAGGCACAAACGTCAGCTGCGAGCGAGCTCCAAACGCCGCACCGAAGCCCGAACAAATGTGCCATCACTGGGAATTACAATTTTAGGCAACTGCAAGGAACAGTCAGCAAAGGCTTGTGCATTGCATCTGAGCTGCTTTATTTCAAAATCCTGCAAATTTCAACACAGCTCCGAGCCACATATTCCAAACTGCAGTTTCTGCAGTCAATGCCACAGACACACAAGCCAGACAACTTCTGGGTTTTTCCTAAGGAGAAAGACTAGAGGGCTTTGCTGAGCTCTCCCCATCTTCACCGTCTCCATCTTTTTGTGAAACTCAGAGGAAAGTGAAAAAGAAAGTCCTGCACTTCAGGACTTTTCCTGCACTTCAGCTACTCAGGCAGTAACAAGGGGGTTCCTTCAACACCCAGAGAGGTCCTAACGCACCACCACAGAAAAGCCCTGCAATTAAACAATGGTCCCAATTGCATGATTTTCGTGAAATCTAAAGGTTTTGAGAAGGTCACCTAACCAGAAAACCTTTAGCAGAATTCATCAGCTGTCTCCATCCACCCAGGGCTGCATGGCTCCGCCACCGGCCTGGGGACATGCTGCTGTAGCCCATCGACTCCAGTGGCTCCCGCGGCCGCGGAACGCCAGCAGCCAGAGCACAAGGCTGGACTGCACCGTGCAGAGCACTGCAACGGGGTCCGAGCCCCAGTGCAGCCCAAGACCTCTGCACAGGCTCTGACTTATGTGCCAAGAAGTTGTATTTGCATAGAAGTTTTCCTTAACCAAGGCCCTTTTTCCTCCTCTATACTTTCTCCCTGCTTGAACCTGAAGAGGTGACACGGGAATCAGCTTTAAAGCTCCTCTGAAAGTCTCTTCAACGAAGTGCAAAGGACTTAACACGACCACGTTAAAACATTTTCCCCAGACTTCAGCATCCAGGTCGCTGAAACAGATGCCTTGAACAGCTCACTGTGCCCACCACGTTCCTCGCGAGCTGCCGTGCCGCACGGCTCGCGCTTGGAAATTCGGCGGATGTTTCTGTTTGATATCTGCCTCAATTCTGAACGGGGGCTACCTGCAGCACCCAGCCCTTGGACCCACCACTCCCCTGGGCCTTCCTGGCACCTGCAACCGACTCGCACTATTGTGCCATGAAGAAAAACTGCCACAGCTGCGTCCCGGGGATCTTTTCTGTAAATAAGTTAATTAGCTGCAGTAGAGGGAGAAAAATATGTTCCAATGTTCATTAGTTATTTAACAACACAAGTGGTGTTTTCTGGTATTAATAACACATTCTGGATAAAGGCCATTGCCAAAATACCAGCCATGAGCGGCACTGTTTGCTGCCTTCAGCTGGACAGGCTTTACATTTCTAACCAGCTCGTCGTTAAGGCTCTGACCCAGCAGAGAAGCCAGATCAGAAACGGGACAACCCATGTTGAACATGGGCTCAGGCCCTCTTGAAATCGAGGTGACCAAAACATGAGCCCAGTGCACGGGGTGGAGCAGAGACGAGCATGGCCAGAGACAAGAGCCTGCCAAGACCCCAGCCCCTTCCCCTTCGGACGGAGCCCACGGCTCAACTTCAGGGACACTCACGGCGTAAGGTCTGAGAAAGGGACAAACCCATCAGACCGACGTTTTCCTGTTTCTCCTTCCCTAATTTTGGCCTGACTTCTTCAGACGGAACGCAGACAACACAGAAAGGGACCTGCGAGCAGAGGAACCAAGAACCTCCAGCCTTTACAGCCTCCAGCCTGGTATCTGTCTGCTGCAGCCTGTGAGCAGGAACCAAAAGAACGAAGCTGGTTTTAATTCACAGCTGAACTATTTCTGTGCAGAACTGCTCACAAGCAACCCATACTTCAGAACGAAAGTCATCTACTTCCTTTTTAATTAAAATCAGCATGGGTTTGGGGTTTAGTTCTTTCCGCACAGAGTCCACAGGGTGACTTGCATCAGAACAGAAACAAGGCTGAATTAAAATCAAATTTAGTTATTTTGGCTGAAGTTTGAGACAGTGAATGCCTGAAAAGCCTGGAAAAAATGATATAGTTTCCACACAGTGCACAGAATTCCCCTCTGAAAGGCTTAAAAAGCAGCCTAGCCGCAGCCCAGAGGTACTACAGATACAAGGCTTGGCCGTAGGCAAGACAAAGGACTTCTTGCGTTGACAGCAGACAAGTGACATTTTACAAGCAGCAGCTCTGGTGGGCTTTGAGCCAGGGGTCCTCATTCTGTACGAGATCCTGTCAGCAGCCATGCTTATCCAGTGTGCTGCTCTTGGGTACCCAACGTGTTGCAGCGGACACACCAACATCAGGGTGGGTCCTGAAGGTGTCCCAGAACAACACCAGCACGCTGGACCAACCTGCAAGCCAAGCATGCAGTTAAGCCTGTTTTACCAGATGTCTCAAGGACAGAAAGCTACCGACTGGAAGGGGGCTGGTTTGCACTGAACTGATTTAGGATGATCTTGTTTGCCCAAGAGGGCCTACTGCTTCTTCGTGTTCCATCATCATTTCTGAAATAAGCATGTCTCTTCCCGGCTCCTTCCCAGTCAGATAACACAGTCGGTTTGTCATCTCAGCAGCAAGGTCAGTTCAAAGAAAACACAAAGCTCTTCCAGCTATTCCAGTCTGTTTCACCACTCAAACACATTTTCCTCAGCATGTGGGAGCAAAGCAGTGAATGGGGCGAGATCTCAGCTCCAGTGAAGACGAGTTCTGCCACGGACTCAGCAGCAGCACAATTACTCTCATGCTCTTCTTTGGCCAACTCCACTCACTTTAGACCTCAGCCCACTTCTGATCCTCAGGCTGACCCAACCACATCCCTCAGGTGATGCTCCTGTCCCGCGTCTGGGCTCTGAGTACACCGGTCCACAGGTATTAGAGTCAGCCCAGCCCTTGTTAGTCCTTCCTTGTGTTGCATCTGTCATGCTGCTGTTGTAATTAATCTTAATTAGTCACTGCCACTAACACAGCTTGTGACATTCAGCCATCAACAACACTTTCCCAAATCTCATGAAAGCTTTTTAATCCAACCTGGCTGTCCGCCCACACTGCAGGTCTTGAAAAAATTGAATCCTTAACAGCTAACGCAGAAATAGACCTGTTAAGAGAAGATTTATGGCAGACATTTCAAACAATATCATTCACTTTTTTTGTTTAGGCCTATTTTTCAAAAAGATGGAATAAAATGATTGTTTAGGAATAAACCTACTGCAGTGCCATTTATGTACCAGTAATAGATACAACCAAAGAGAGCAAATACATCGTCTCAATTTTCCAACACAAGACAGACTTCATATTGCTTTGTTGATCCAAAACCACAAATAAAATTTAAAAAAAAAAAACCACAATTGCTACAGGGCAACAGACAGAAGCAACACCAAGACTTCTCCTGCCCTACTATGAGAAGCTGCCTGCCGAGCAATGCCCTGGATAACAGCGTGTGATTTCACCTGGAGGCACAGAGACAGCTCCACAACCAAAGTGCTCCCGGGAGCGGGGAGACGCAGCCGAGCACACACAAGTGAGAAGTTCTATGCATTCCTCAGCAGAAGGTCGTGTTCAGCCATCACCCACAGGCCACCAGGCTCACACAAGCGGGTCAGGTTTCAGCCACGAATTAGCACCACCAACTCCGAGCACAACTCCTGAGCCGTCAGCACCTGGCAGGCGCCACCAACCGAGTGAGAACTGAAAGGGGCCCAAGGGCAACACGGTGCAGCAGGCCCGGCAGCGAGAGCAGTACGGACACCAGGGATCACACTGGCTCATGCCCAAGACATCCCCATTTACGCCTAATGAAACAGTTACGTGCCGTGACCTGCTGCCCGATGCGGCTGCAGAAGCCCTTCGCGGTAGGACCGCTGGGAAATCCTCCTCTGCGCCGCCAAAACCAGTGAAGAGTGAAACGTTTCTAACCAACACAAGAGGAACAAAGGGGCCGTGCGGCGGGATGGAGAGCGAGCCTCAAGCCACCGAAACGTTGGACAGACATTTGGTGCTAACGAACGACGTTGCCTGTGCTCCCCGTCGCGCAGAGCAGACACGGGTCGGATCAGCTCGTTACTCACCGTGTAAAGCTCATTGGTGACTTTCAGGAGCTCTTCATGCATCTGTAAGCCGATCTCCTTACTCTGGAAGACAAAAAGGAGACTCCATTACACTCACAATACGCATTTGTGAAAGGAAAATACATTCCAGAGGGAAGAGTGGAACTATGACTTCCAAATACTCTGTGCATACGCATCTCAATCCTTGTCTCCAAGCCACGCTCCCAAGAGCCGCCTGCACACGCTGTGGACGGTGCTGTGCCAGCACTGCCCTCCCAGACGCATGTCCCTGACACGGGCTGCAGCAGCAGCACGCGGCCACCAAAGCCCAGCATGGGTCGAGTGCCAGCAGCAGCACGTGGACACCCAGCGCGCACTCTGAATGCTCCCTGCACACCATGACTCCAGGGGACCTCACACCACTCGAAGGGCATCAAACTCTGCAGACAGACAGGAGGTGTGGAAAGGGGGAATGGGATCCCTACAAGCACCTAGTTCAAACTGGGGAAGAAGAAATGAAGTGACGTTTTTTTCCCCGGCTGGCTGATCGAAGGGACGCAGAAAGTCTCCAACGCTGCCAGAGTGCTGCTACGGGTCACCATGGCACCAGCAGAAGAGTCTGGGGACGCTGGTGAGCTGGTAGGACAGGGAAGCAGCAAGTTGTTGTTCTCCTCTTTTCTTAAACCAAGCGACCAACCTGATCCTGACAAAGCCAGAAGTACTTGTTCCCATCCCTTCCACTCCTGTGCCCATGCAGATCCCATTAACCCCCAGCAAAGGCTCTCGCACCCATCCCACAGAGAACGAAACCACAGACACCTCTCTCATGCCTGTAGGGTTTTTCTTTCCTCCTTCCAGCTGACAACGGGTGGGTGGACCTTGGCAGCACAACTGGCTTCTGGTAATGCCCATCTTAAATACCTTCTGCCCCCTGGAGATCTGCCCTCTCCTGCCTCCCCTGCCAAACACCAGACTTGCCATTCTTTGCTCTGCAGCAGAGTTAACAAAACCATGTACATTTTAATTCTAGATATTACTTTAAAAAAGAAAACGGCCCTGCAGCATGAGAAACGCCCCAGGGGCCTTATTTACACCACTTCAGAAACCCTGTCTAATACCCTTCCTGCTCCGGGAGCTGAAAATACATCATCGACAGAGCTGCCAATCCACATCTGGGCTCCGTTTTCCCATTTCTAAACATCAAAACCAAAATACAGATGGCCGCCTCTTCCAATCTGCCTGTGACAGTGAAGTTTAAAAGTAAACTGGCATTTTTATTTCCTTTAATTTTCTACAAATCCTTAACAAAATAAAATGTGTGACTATAAACACGAACACATACAGCACAGCAAATCCTCAACGCTATTTCGGAATTGCTGCGTTTTTGTTTAAGGTCAATGTTTGCCCACGGATCAACCAGCCTGGGTTTCAGAGACCACGATGAGGAACACCATGCAATTTTATTTATCCTGCAAACACACAGGGATGAATCTGGAATTCCAGACAGTATCACTTTGCCCCGCCACTGGCAGTACTCATCTCCAGCCCACAGCCAACACACTGCGTGGGTCTAACACACAACATCCTCCTCCATTCCAGGGACTTGTTCCACGTTAAGCCTGGCAGAGCACAGGAAAGCTGGGCTCGCTCTTCAGCCAGAAGAGTGTTTTGTAGCTTCACTTCCCCTGTTTTTCAACAAACCCTGCATTACTGGGTATAATGGGTGAGTGGCTGCTGCACTCTCCGCACAGAGCTGGCCGTGTGTCAGTGCTGTTAACTCCTCTGCATCGCTTCGAATATACAATAAACATTCGTGAGGACACGAATCGCTTGTGTTTGCATTCTCTAGTCATACAGTGTCACCTGTCAATCCATCTGGATTTGATAGATTAATTATTAAAGATACCTGCTGCTGTACTTGCAATTCCCAGTCAACTCTGGTCCTTCGGAACGCAGATTACCAGGGCTTCCTAGACCGAGCGCCTAAAGCTTTAGGGTCACCCTGACCATGACCCGCTCTCCCTGACCTGCCTTCAGTAGCTCATTTTCACTCTTCTGACCCAAGTGAACCAAAGCCTCTCTCAAAAAAGGCACTATATTACGAAACAGCGACACCACAGTTATATAACCAAGTTTCCAATTTCACAACCGCAACAGCCAAAGTTCAGCAAGCTTCGGAGAAAGCTCACTGTCAACGTAAAAAAACTCAGTGTGTCTTCCTCCCTCCACTCCCCCCGTCCGCCGAAATCCTATTATCAGTTTGTATTTTCACTCCTCTTGCCAAGCAGGACGAAGCAGATCCAGCCACCACCTCCCACAGCATGAACGTGGCATTTCACGGGAGAGGCCGCAACTCGGGGAGACGCCGAACGTTTCGGCTTGGCTGCAGATCAAGTCAACTCCTACTCAGAAATCCAGCGGCTGGATGCTACTGCAGATGTGCCTGCACTGCGTTCCTGCCGCCCTTCTAATTACACCCCACATCTCTCTGTAGAATCTTCTTGGACAGGAAACATCCATTATAGCTTGACAACGTTTATACTAAGTATAGACACCCCCTCTCCCTCCTCCAAAAACCCAAACAAAAAAACCCAAGCAGTTTTTCTTTTAGATTTCCTCAAATAACTCCAGGCATTTTTGTGCACACAGGGAAAACAACGTCCCATCAGCTTCTTGGCTGGGCAGCTAAAGAAGCCCATGACACGGAGAGGTCTTCTAATTACAGCTAACTGGACAACCCGCGTACTTGAGAAGTTTAACCTTAGATTATCAGATGTTAGAACTGAATGCAAAGAGTGAAGCAAGGAATCTAAAGAGTCAAAGCACTCTGCTTTCAGCAAACATCCAGTAATTATAATTTATCTGTGAATTGGTGTCCAAATTGGGTATTTGGAAGAGTCCTGTCTTCACAAGCTTGACTGATGTACGCTGCTCCCATTCTTACGTGCGTGAGGTGCCAAGAAGATGCCAAGTACCAGAATGTGCTAATTACCCCCAGCCATCTGGAAATCTCCTTTGCTGGAAATCCCAGTCCCTCCCCTCCCCGCCGACACCAGTGGTCACAAGCTGGTCTT